AAAAAAAAATTAATGTAGTTGCATTCACATTGTTAAACATTTTAGGATTGAGTCTAGAATTTTTAAGCATCTAGTAGGTTGTTTACATTTGCATAAAGGGTTAAAATTTTCTTAAAAAGGTGTTTTAAGCTCATGAATTGTTTCAATACCCTAGTTAGTAGTTCTCTAATGCTTTGCTCACATTTTTAAAGTAAGTCCTTACCATGCTTGGATCACTTGTTTTGATTTTCGTGGCTTGACTTGAACATTCATGATTTGAAACTTGTCTTAATAAGTGAGAACCCTAACCTGATTTTTAAATATCATTCTTATGCATTTGAAAATGAACACATGGATCTTACACATATTTAGGCTCTCTTCCTCCTTTTACCACTCTTTGTGAGGCTAAGTAGAACTCCCGCCATTACCCTTACCTTTCTTTCAAGCCAAGTATTCCTGTGTGACATCATTGTGAGGCCTCTTTTCGGTTTGAACTTAGCATAACGTGTTACGTTTAGGCGACATGATTACGTTCTCATATGATTGCTAGCTTTGCATTTTGAAGCTAGTTATAGGCCTAGGATAAGTCTGGGGGTTTGATGGGATTGCTTTCTTGTTTATATGCTGACGGTTTCAAAAGGTCTTGGTGATTGAAGTGAATAAAAGTTTTTAAGTGAAAGGCTTTGTTTTCAAAATGTATAAAGCTCTAAGTATTTCAGAAGATAGCTCTCTCAAATAAAATAAAAAGAAAAGAAAAAAGCCTAAGTGCCGAATAAAAAGAAAAGAAAAGAAAAGAAAGAAATAATAGAGAGCTATCAATAAGAATAGAATAAGGAGCTAAAATATTTTCAAGCCTTTTCACTAGCCTAAAGAGTAAAGATGTTTTCTGTATTGATTTGGGGTTTGCTAAGCTAATGCTTTGTTGATAAGGGTAGTATCTAAGAGGGTGAGTGAGCTTAAAATAAAAGAAATGAGAGGGGTTTTAGGATGATTGATTAGTGTATGGGTAGATGAGAATCTGATCATGTATGCATTAATTGCCTTTACCTTTAGCATTATGCATAAAGTTCATACCATTCTTGAGGGAAACCCATTGCATTGTGAAACCCTTTTAAAATGAGATCATTTTATGCTCATAGCCTTCACCCTTAGCCAAATGTGTTCTGTTTAAAGTGCATAAGTTTGATTCACGGTTTGATCGTTAATGAATGTTAAGGGATGAGATTCTTTGATTGTTTGGAATAGGAGAGTCATGATTTGAAATTCAATGTGTAATGAGTATGGCTAATTTTTTTGGAGTATGAGTGTGTGCATTGCATCTTAGAATTAGTAACTAGGACGTAGAGATTGATTCCTTTGAAAAACACCTTTGCAAGGAGCTTAAACCCCGTATGTTTTAAAACCTCTCTCCCTTCTTGAATTTTGTTTGCTTGAGGGCAAGCAAAAGGCAAGTTTGGGGGAGTTGATATTGCTGCATATTTCGTGTGTATTGCATGCATATATGGTAGTTTCTCATGCATTTACCTTGCACATTAGACTAGTTTGCATCACTTTAGGTCCTAGAGTACTTTTGCACCAGCATTTGCATGTTTCTTGCATTTTGCATTGCATTCAGGTTGTTTTCGGCTACTTTGGAGCTATGGAGGATTTGTGGACGTGCTAAGGCTCGTGAGGAACTTCGTGGGCACTTGTAGAAATCAGGATTGCATGCTAAGGACTCGAGATCGAGTAGCGGATCGAGCATGGCAGGTCGATCTAGATGAGATCGACCAGAAGATCGAGTGAGCCGTGTCGATGCGAAGAGACTGATGGAGACGACGATCGAGTGAAGAGATCGATCAAGGAATACGGACGTAAATGATGCCATGCAGAGCGAGAGTCGGATCGAGTCCACCACTCGATCCTCCATAGATCGACTCCAAGATCGGACGAAGCACTCGATCCACCGAAGAAGATCGAGACACAGATCGAGCTGAGGCCGCGATTTCTGAAGACAATCGAGCGAGATGCTCGATCTCGAGGTCGATCCCAGGCTACTTTAACCGAATTTGGCATCTAGCGAGGGGGGACCATTGAGCTGTTTGTCCATTTTGGGAAGGCGGTGATCCTGCTTTTGGGAGAGCGTTTTTTCACTTTTTTTTTATCCTTTTCTCTCTAGTTTTGGAGGATTATCTCCGCCATTGTAGAACTTTGAGTTTTCTTGCTTTTACTTTTGGAATATTAAATCTTTGCTTTCAATCTACCGTTTTCATGTTTAGTCTATCATCTATTGCGTTTTGTTCGGTTTACTTTATGAGTAGTGAGTAGTTTCATCGGGTTTTCAGGTTTGAGAGGATTCAAAGGGGTTGAAAAGGTTTAAAGCTTGGTGTTTTCTTGTTCTTCATGGCTTTCTCTTCTAGGATATCGAGTGCTTAATGCTTAGAGACTCTCACGCCAAGATCTCTATGATCCAAGGGATGTCTTACCTTGACAGGATCCAAATGTCCCTGAAAGTCGAATCCTAGAGGCTAATCCTTCCTTTCCCACACGCCATGGTTGTTTAGGGGATTATTTAGGCCGTGTGTTTGAAATCTATGTTTTATGCTCTTCAATCTCTTTTTCCACCAAAAGGCATGGGTTTGGAGAAGAGAATGAAGGAGTGATCCATACCACACGCCATAGATGGATCTTGTTTTATTTTCAAGGAACTAAAAATTGGTCGATTTTTAGTTTTTAGGCTTGCGAGACATTGCGGAACTCGAGCTTGCTGAACTAGAAGAAGGCGGGAGAGAACGGAGAGGAAGGACTTCGGCTGCCAGCAAAGTAAACCACCTTCTGTCAGAATATTAAGATCCAACAAGCAAGGTCGAGATACAAGTTCAAAGAAAACTTACCGGGCGCGAAAACTGGAGCTGGAACGGGGGAGGTGAGAACTCGTCGGACTCGTTCTCGCGTGAACGTGCTCCAGATAACTTCTCCTTGTCTGAACAACTCTAGCTGGTGCTCGATATCGGGATCCTTGGGTGCTCTGGACAGTTGGCCTGATACACAAAAACAAGCAAAGGGTCAGAAAACTCGACGAGCATACCAAAACAAACATAGCTAACGAGCACTCGAGCCTAGGTAAACAACCGTTACCCGTGAACTCGACTGGCAGCCGGGAAAAGTCGAAATCCCCAATGGACGCCTCGTTAATCCAGAATTTAAACCCTGTTTTCTCCCAACCGCCAGTTCGACCTCGGGGACGCATAGAAAGCCCCAGGACGGCAGGCGTTGTACTTGACGGAGAAGAACGCTCTCAAATCAGAATAGCGGAAGATAATGTTCTCCTCTTTGGCCCTCACGGCACATCCGATGATGGCCCAAACCAAGTTCGGGCACATCTGCGGAAAAGCCAGCCGCAAGTCCGCCAGCACTTCGAGGATGAATCGAGGGATTGGGAAGAAAAGTCTGCAGTCCCGGAAGTATGTTGCATAAGCGCAACAAAAGCCCGGCTCAACCCTCACCGGAGTCTCCGCCGGCGTCAAAACGGCCAATTCTACCCCCTCGGGGATTTCGCATTCTCGACGGAAGTCGTCAAGGGCTTTCTGGTCGATCTTGGAAGGACCTACAGCGGTCCTCCCGGATTTTTCTCCCTCAACTTTCACTATGGCCGACATCGGAAAAGAAAAGAGGAAGAAAGCGGCAAATGATAAACCCAGAAAACTAAAAAGATGAAAATCGAAGCTTTTCTAAAGGAAAACTCGGCAAACAGTTTCTGAAAACTACAGAAAATGGAAGTTCCAGAAAATAAAAGGAAAGAGAGAGAGGAGGTTACCTTTAATTGACGAACTGATGCGGTTAAAGAAGGAGTGGAGAAGGTGGACTTTATATCGAGGTAATTATTATCAACTTCGAAGATCGCAGAGAATCTGGCCACGCGCCAATCTCAACCGTTCGATCCTCCTATCCTAACCGTCGAATATTCGACTTCGACGATTTGACGCGCTGAACAGCTCGATCGATCGAGGCCGTTAGATCGACTTCCTCTTTCCCCATCCGGACCATCCACATCATCAAGCTTTAGTGCGAATCTTCTCGAGGGATGCACCTTGCCCCGGGAAGCTCGACCGCCGAAACAGAAAAGTAAATGATAATATTTACTTCGAATCTCGATCGTCCACCTAGACGAGTTAATAACAGATTTATCTCGACACGCCAAGTTACGGTCTCGAGGTCGATTCTCGACCGCATGATCGACAAACTGTTCACCTTTCCAAGATCTGAACCGTCGATCTCGAATGATTATCTGACTCCATGATGTCAGCATAATCAAACACCAAATCTTTTAAAAGTCCCATCTTGCCGCCCATTAAAGCTCGAGCTCGCTCTCGTTAATGGTCTGGGGGGCAATTGTTAGAGCTGGATTTGACACCTCAAATCCGGCCCACTCAAGCCCAACGGATAGGTCCAAACTAAGCCAAAGTGGTTGGGCTTCAACCCTGCGACCCAGGTCCATTCACCTTTCAACGATCCAATCCTGAGCAACAAGATGCTGCGATCGGCGAGGTCGAGCTCCAGCTCGACTAAATCCCAAGAAACAAGGAAGAATCCGAGCCAACTCAGAGAATATTCTCGCCAGTTCAAACGAGTCCGAAGATCGCGGAAGAAGTTGCTGCACGTGGCGAGATATCCGGCTGAGGCTGCTGCACGTAGCCGAGATACACGCTGGAGCTCGAAGCTCGACGAGGCAAGCTATATAAAGGAGGAGAATGGCTTAGTTCGGGGAACCTTCAGCTTGATCTTTTTATATACTTTTTACACCCGAAAATATTGTAATTGCTCCCAGAGCTTTTTTCAGTTCATCTTTTTCATTGAGATTTTTGTAACCGTTTCATTCGACAGATTAATACAACATCTTTATTTCAGTTAGTGCTAACTTATATTGTCAATCTGTTCGAGGGAATCTAGCCATTAATCCTCTAAAACTCTTTCCTTACAAGTACACAAATTTCTGAGGGTGGATTTCATTATCCACAATAACCATAATATCATTTGCCCAGTCCGTCCTTATTTTACAATAACCCGAAGCGAACCATATTTTTTTCTTGTGGTTTAAATTCGGTTCCTCTATTTCTCGAACTACCCTAAAAACTGAACTCAGTACATGCGTTATCCCGAATGGCATCACTTAACGCTACTGTGAGCCTCACACTTTCGAACCACCGCTTAAAGCTAACGTCCGCAGCACTGTCACCTCCGGTATGGAAGCAGAGCCGGCGAGTAATCTCCGTCTCCTTCTTCCTCTCCCGCTTCGTCCTCCTCCCTAACGGTATAACATCTGTCTCTTCATATTCACCAATTTGATTCTCAATTTCACGAAGCTTAACTGAAAAATCATTAATTCGAGCTTCTGTTCTTCTTGTATTTGGTATCTGCTGAATCAGATGCCATAGCTGGTAGCTTAATTGATAAGTACGTCAAGAGGTAATAAATTGAAATTCACCTCAAAATCCTCTCTGAATCTTAATGTATTTACGAATTTCAGTCCAATGTTTGGCGAAATCTCTATAGCTCTATTTTTCGGGGTGCAAATGTGAAATCTCTGTAACTTAAAACCAGTTTTTGAATAGGAAAAAACTTGATCCACTTGAAGCATATGTACCACCAGTTATTCTAGCTCAGCTACAAATCCAGGATCTTGGTAACTTTCTGAATTTTTGCTCCGATTTCTCCTTGATACTCCAGATATATTGCTAACACTATATCTGATTTATGATGTTTGGAGAGCAAATTTTAAATGTGGAGAAACCTGAATTCGAGGCTTGCAGATCGCTACTTCGATCTGGTCCTGCTAGCTCCTTGCGTGTAAACATTCGAGCTGTAAGTATAAAAAGCTCACAAAACTTTAAGCAACCTTGTTTTTTGCTCGTTTTTGATGATAATGTGTGTAATTTAAACTCTCTTCAGTTTGTTTATGCTCGTGTTTGATGATAATGTGTGTGATTTAAACTCTCTTCAGCTTCAAGCTCGTGTTTGATGATAACGTGTGTGATTTAGACTCTCTTCACTTGTTTTTGCTCGAATTTGATTATAATGTGTGTGATTTAAACTCTCTTCTGCTTCTTTTTTGCTCGTGTTTGATGATAATGTGTGTGATTTGAACTCTCTTCAGGTCTCTTGTTTGATGATAATTTGTATGATTTAAAACTCTCTTCAGGTTGCTCAGTACGCTTCAGATGCTGGTTACTCCCAAACCGCGTCTAACGACGTTGATCGATGTCTAAGGTATTAACATTTCCCGGAATCTATATCTCAACAAAGTGATGCAGTTATAAGATAATATAACCTCGACACACAAAATCAGATTCGAGATAATAAAATTGTTGTATATGTTGAGTTTTATGCAGAGCATTGGAAGAAATGGATTCGCTGTTTCTACGTGCTTCGAGGAAAGATCCGAATGCAACTGTTGAGTTGATGAAGTCACAGCTTGGAACAGCGTTAACAGCACTGGACAGGTAAAACGGTATATACACACAGCGCGCAAGCACAAAGCGGATAATATATGCTAACTAAAACAACACCTGGCTGCAGCATTCTACAAACAGTTCCTTCTCAAGTGCTTGATAAAGGCAAAGCTATGGCGGAAGTCTACAGATCACCATCTGAAGAAGACGATGTTTCAGACTCCTCCGAGTTACAGTAGCTCCAGTCTATACTGTGAGTGATGCCTCAACATTGGTATCAAAATCCTCTGATTCCGTGTACGATCATGCATTGTTAACCTCCATTCGTGAAGGAGATGTAACATTTGCGTATATTAAAAAACCTGAACAGGGTGCTGTTTTAGTAATTGTCTCATATACAATCAGATGACATGACTTGTTTAAATGTATTATTGAAACCAATGACTGCATGAACAGGGTCCTGCTATTATAATTGTCTCCAATCTGTAGAAAAATTGGCGCTAAGAAGTAACAATATAAAGTTTGTAGCATGTATCTCTTACATTTAGTTTGTAAGACCATCAGAATCTCTAATGAGTTTTTAAAATTATTTTAATTATAAATTTTGAAATTTTTTAAGTTCAGAACCTCTCTAAGAATAATTAAAATTGCATAACTCTAATGGTTAGAGAATAATTAAAATTGCATAGCTCTAATGATAGAATCTCAAATGAGGTTCTTAAAGATAAAAAAAATATTGTTCTGAAAATTATAATATTTTAAGTAGATTTTATTTTGTTTAAATTATTAAACATTGTATATTTATAAAACTTAAATAAATTATATTTCATAAAATTTTAAACAAACAAATAAATTGCATTTCATAAATTTGCAGGTACTCATTGCAAGACAAGTTCCACAAATTGAGAAAAAAACAATCCAAGAAATGATAACATGAAGCCTCAAAGAGAGGATACGAAAAGCGGAGTAATTAAAATCATACAGCCATATGACAAAACCAAGGAGTGAGACGTAGGGGTGAACCACCACCAATAGATGCGTATCCTTCCTTGCTTTTGGGTGCCCTCGCTACTGATATAAACTGTGCCAACGGTTTTTGCAGAAACGGAACAGAGGCGGCAACCGAATAATGTCCTGCCGATTCAACAGTGATCACCATAAGTCACATGAAACAAGAAAAGATGAAATAATCTCCCCTTTTAAACATCATATCAAGACTCTATTATCTGAAACTTGCGTCTCGATATACTTAGTTATATGTCACAATCAGTCAATATCAGAAAACAGAGTCTAAAAGATGAGCAGAGATATACCGGGTCGGCAAAGAGGTTGAACAAAAAAGGTTGCACATCATCTAAAGTCTCAAGGCCTCCAAGATTCAGTAACAAGACTCCTATCTTCTCATCACTGACTACTTCTGAAGATGAAATGTTTAAGGGGTCAGAGGTCACCAAGGCTCTCAAAGGCAATGGATGTTTCCCAAACAACCGTTCGAAAAGAGTGGCTGTTTCGAAGCAGCAAATGCCTCATCGAAAGGTAATCTTGAGTACTGCACAGATCTCATTTGTGCTAAGAGTCTGCATAAAAGAGTATTATACCATTTAAGCTAATGTATAATCTCAAATGCTTCTTTAAGCTGATACATAAGACTGAGTATCCTGCATTCGAATTAATCGATTAAGACAAAAAATATTGGAATTACTCTTCACTTCTTATCCAATTTGCTTGAATTAACATTTATGATTAATCAATAAGAAAATGTGTTTGTTGCTCAAAAAAATAACGATTAAACTATCTTCCACTTACCCATATACGGAAAAGCTACAAATTGTTTGATAAAGCAGAATTCAAGTGAAAGAGAAGCTCAGAGACTTACGGAGGAGGACGAAAGTTGAGTAGGAAAATGAAGAAGAGCAAGAAGAAGCAGATGAGCTCATGGCTGGGCAATTCATTGCAGCTGAGCTTGAAGGTCGAGACGGTAACGCGACAATCAGATTTGGACTAAATAATTAAGAAATCTGATCGATTCTCATGGATAGTTTCGTCTCCTCCACTCTGGGAGAGATTTATTTCTCCAACTTTTGGCAGATGAGTGAAGTTAATCACACAGTTGTGATAAAATGAAGATTTTTTTTTGCGTAAGGTGGATTGGTGAATGGCTTGAGGAGGGAGAACCACACATGTCCATATAAGGCTGATAAGAATGGTTCAAAGTTTTTAGATGCCGGCAGCTTTCGTCATCTCAATATTAGAGGCCGGTTGATCCGCGTCTCGTCGCTTTGACAACCAACTTCATCGTTACACTCGAGATCGAGTGAAAGAGGTGAGAAAGGGAGAGAAACTCGCCGAATAAAGTATAGAAAAGGGGAATTACTTTTTTTATTTTTTTGTCTAATAAAATTAACCAATGAGAATTAAACACATACGAGACTCCTACCAATCCTAAAAACTCTCTTCGCCGAATAAAGTAAACAATTTATTTAGTTTTGAATTACATTTTTAATTTTTTTTCCTGAGAACCTTATGATCAGAGCTCCCGTTGGAGCTGCTCTAATGTGTCTAAATATGAGATTATCTTGCCTTGCAATAGATCTCATATCATAGATAACATATAATGTTAAAACTACCTAACATCAGCAACATATTTTAAGCAAGTGTAAAAATTCCCTCTGTGAGTTCTGCACTAAATATCAGATAAAATAAAAATGCTAGGCATAGGATCGACAATGAAGTCTGTAACAGATTCCACTCGTGTACAAGATGTAATGTCCGAAGTTGTCACCTTGTGTGGGGGAGCTCCTTGGCCTTGTTTCTTTGCTTTTCATCGTAGTAGCTGCTTCGCCTTTCTGTAGTGTTGTGTCCTTGTTGATCCATTTTGAGCTTAAAAATCAGAATGGTACAAACAAACCAAACTCGAATGGGTATTGGGCGTTCGACAAAGTGGGCATTCTTGCTTTTCATTACACCATTCCATAATACAGCTCCTGCACATGACAGATGATGACTCTTTCAACACAAGCACAAATGTCTCACAGACCATTTTGAATTTTTGGTTCCGTAGTTCGAGTGTATATGTTTGTTATCAATACAAGGTTCACATCTTATCTAAGCAGTTTGAACATCAAGACAGATTGAAATTGTTCCGGTTTAACTGCTCATTAAGGTTTTGGAGATAACGCATTTTAACGCGTTTGAGATCAGCCCCAGGCAGAGAAGAAATTACGGAAGAGGAAGGTTTCTTACCAACAAAATACATGACCGCAAGGAGTGGCTGTCGGGTATTGACGGTTGCTTAAGCAGAGAGTGCATTTCCCTACAGCCTGCAACCACAAGTACATACCTAAGGTACATAACATAATCATGATACTAAACCGCTATAACTGTTTTTGTCTTCTTAATTACATATAAACAAAATAGCCTTCGAGCAAGGTCATGGATTTTGATAAGAGGTTGTGCCTCTCTTCCAAGTATTTACTTTTGCCAACAATGATCAGTATTCAAGATATTAGCCATTTTAAAGTAACAAAGGTTTCTTAGGTTGTTTATAAATATAGTACCTCCAAATTTGAAGTTAAATCGGAAGTGGACCAGTTTCCCTTTTCAGCTTCTGATGTTATCAAGTTTCCGTCTTCGTTTAAAACAGGTAACCCTCTTCCTGCAAGAACAATACGAAAACTATACTATCATAAGTGGAAGTAGTTTTATGCATAAAAAGATAAAACTTTCAGCCTATGTCACCATCTTCTTTCACACTTCTTTTAAGAGAATTCTTAACTGTGATGCCATTCTAGACCATACTATGTTGAAAATTTAACAACCTAGTGTCAAAATCTAGGAATTTCTAGAGTGTTTAACATTCATAATCGAGGACATGAAAACCAGACCTCCAGAAGTTTGATAAGATCCTGTAGACGCCTGTTGAACTGAGCTTGTGATAGATGACAAATTACTCCGACGCAAGCCCTCGGCAGCAAGGATGCACAACTGGATTAGAAGGAAAACCCCGAGAATTTGGTATCTGCTCAGCAATACTTAAGGGACTTCAGCTACTCTGTCATAGTAAAAGCCAACACTTGCTGGAGAGAAGAGGAAAGAAAAATTCGTCACCTAGGTCTATGATTCAGTTGCTTTCCTATGAAAACATAACGAACCCCGGATGCTCGTTTCGATATATGATAATACAGACCTGAGAGAAATGAAGATCACTATTAAAGAACATTGCAAATTTGATGCTCTTTCTATATATTTCTAACAAATATCACCTTCGAAGTAGAAGAGCATCAGATTGGCACGGAGAACCAATTGTAAGACTTCACGGGCAACAGGGAGGACCTGAAAAATAGACACCCTCGGATAAAACATTCGCTACGCAGACAACAACCAACACCATGAGAACTAGAACCCGAGAAGTATACATTACCACAGGCCATCTCCGAGTAGCTCGGTGCCACAATCTCTTAACTCTATCTTTTAACCTAGATACAGCAGAAGCTGAAGTTTCCACTTGAGGTGATGATGCAAGATCAATCGTTCTTGGTGACTGGATATGACTATCACCGAAAATCTCATCAGACTCAGACTCATCAAAGGTAACCGCTCGTGTCGCAGCTCTAGAGCTGTAAACAAAGTACATAACATTAGAACCACTCTCTTAGAGATGTTACATAGCAATATTCAAATCTATTCTATTGTAAACAACAATAAGAAAGGTGAATGAGAACCTAATTCTCTCTGCGATATATGGAACTGCAGACTGATACAATATGAACAAAGCACGTCTAGCTGGTGTAGGAGAGAGCCCATAAGGTCCTGCAACCTAAAATTAGTTTGTTCTTCATCAGAAAAACACCAATCTTTCAACCAAGATAGCCTCAAAACGCAAAATGGGTTTGTGTAAGAACATTGGCTAGAGCATAAAACCTGTATAATGTCACAATATTCCTCTCCTAAAGTTTGTTGCCCTGATCCTGTGGTCAGAACAAAGTAAAGTATTTGCCCAAGAAGTTTCATCTGCAGGAGGACAAACCAAAAACGTCAAAAGCTGTGTAAAATCAAAAAAATATCATGGAATCTATACACACACACAAACACTCGTACCTCTTTCTGGTAAGCTAGAGCGACTCTTGTACCTAACAGTACAAGTCGAGAGTTGGATCAAAATTAGAGCGTAATTTGAATAAATCAATGAAATTGTGGCGATATTGATAGAAACAGATACTTCGGAGATTTGGTACCAAATAGGTGTCTGAAGGCATCGCGGCACGCTTCGTGGATGAAAGAAGCGTACTGGTCGTCTTTCTCGGCTGCTCTCATAATCTCCGGCTGAGCTGCGAGCGGGAATTGCCGGATTCCGCCGTGAAACCCGCTCGAACCGGGTTCGTCCGGACCCACATCGCTCCTAAGCCTCATCTCTCCCTGACTCTTGGTGGGTGGTTTAGTGGATCGATTGGAGTGCCCGACTGTCGATGATTATTATATCGATGAGATGATGTCAGCGAGTTGGAAGAACCAGTAAAACCCGGTTTATTCGGGTTTCAAAGTTCCAGCTCAAGTAGATTTTGACAATTGTGAATTTGTGATAGTTGAACTCCCGACACGCAGCAATTATCCGGGATCCGGAAGAACCAGTAAAACCCGGTTTATTCGGGTTTGATAGTTCCAGCTCAAGTACATTTTGACAATTATGAATTTGTGATAGTTGACCTTTCAACACGCAGCAATTATCCGGTATCCATGATCCGTTCCACTTCGTTTGGATTATCATTTTTGTAATCTGTATCGTATCTGATCCGCTACTAATTGGATATCCTGCATTTATATTTTCGTAGAAGTTCAGATTTTAACCAAATATTTAATCACTTTCTAAACTATTTAATATTATGTGGAAGTTTTTTTCCCATATTAATAAACCAAATAAAGATTTATTAACACTTTTACTTCAAAAGTGTAACACCGCCTCTCCTCATACGAGATAACATGTTAAACATTCAACTTTCCAACCAAATTACTACAGCATTAACTCCAAATCAACATTTATTTCATAGATATAAATCCAAATAATATAGCAAATAATCAACTTAAATTCGAAATAAACCATAACCTAGTCTCAAAACTAACTGAAAACCATTTGAAATAGAAAGCTAAGTGTTTTAAGGACCCCAATGACCGAACTAGAGAACCAGCTCGCCACCATCACACGCCAATCACTTCTGCTGCTCCTGCTCACTTGCGCAAGGGAAAAAGGGAAAGGAGGGGATGAGTAATTTAGATTACCTAGGAGAATGCATACATGTGGTCCACTACATATACCATTACTCAAACCTGTCGCTGGCTAGAACCAAACGAACGAGCGCAGTTTAATGATTCTTCTAACAATCAACAAACAAATATGCAATGAACAAAGCGAGCATATTGAACGCCTCTCGTTACAGTATCCCACGGATTAACCTTCGCAAGTTTCGTATGTCTTACACCCTTGCTAGGGGACGCATCTCCGCAAGAGTCTAAGTCGTTGCACGACTGGTCCGTCGACCTGAGCGCCACATGCCACTACGACAGGCACATCCTCTGTTGCAGACGTCAATCACACCAGCAGTGCCTTCTCACTGCTGGGTCCTAATGCAGTTTGTGCTTTCACACACTATATGCAATGCAATGCAGATTCACAATTCTCACAAGCAATATTCAACATCAAGCAACAATCAACAGTATTAATCCACATCTAGAATAAATAACAACCTAGCAAACAGCACAAATCTACAAGTTACGACCTAGAGCAGAACTTGTAGGGTTTTAAAGGACTTGAGATCTAGATCTAACAGAAACAAGCTAGCTAACGATGTCGAAGGGAAGGCATGAACACATCCTCACCTTTGCCTAATCGATTGAAAGGGTTTAAGGGATCTAATGACGGAAAGCAAAGGACTCAAGAAAACAGCGGCTAGGAACGGCGGAACGACGGCGGTTCTCCTTGGCGGCGATGGTGATCGGCGGCGGTGGCTTGCTCGGTTAGGGTTCCTAGGTTCTATCTCTGAGTGCTTTGGGAGTTGTGATGGAAATCCTAAGTCTCTAGCTCTATTTATATAGGGAAGACTCTGGGAAAACCCTAATACCCTTTCCTCTTGGGCTTCTGACACATGAGCCTTTCCTTTTCCTGTTGGGCCTAGATCCAGGGCGTTACAATTCTCCCCCTCTTTAGAGGAATTCGCCCTCAAATTCCTGCAACCACCCTGTGATCCCTTCGCACCCTCAAAAAGCTTAGGACACCATTTCCTCATGTCATTTTCCTCTTCCCAGGTCTCCTCACTAATTCCATCTCTTTCCCAACACACCAAGACCATCCGGGTTTCCTTCCCTTGAACGTCTCTTGTCTGATATTCCTTTATCGAGACAGGTGTGCTTCGCACCCGGAGGTTTCCACTCACATCCACTGGCGGATTAGGTAGTATCAGCTCAGGCTCTCTAACTACCTTCCTCAACACAGATACATGGAACACATTATGGAAGTCAGACAACTCTTGTGGCAAGTCCAAACGATACGCCACATTGCCAACTCTCTCAATGACCCTATATGGTCCCATGTACCTTGGCTTAAGCTTTTTCAGCTTCCTAATCTCTTTCACACCCGTGAATGTTCTCATTTTCAGGTAGACCTCATCTCCAACTGAAAACTCTAAATCTTTCCTACGCTTATCTGCATAACTCTTCTGACGGTCGTGGGCTTCCTTAAGTCTGTCCTTAAGCAATTCCACTTGCGTAACCATCTCCTTAACCATGTCCGGCTCTAGGTCACGTCGCTCACCCACCTCAGTCCAACAGAGGGGAGTGCGACACGGTCTACCATACAGAGCCTCGTATGGAGACATACCGATACTCAAGTGATAACTGTTGTTGTAGGCAAACTCAGCTAATGGCAAGTACTCGCCCCACTTCCCCGCCCAGTCAAGAACACACGCCCGGAGCATATCCTTGAGGTTCTGAATCGTCCTTTCCGATTGTCCATCCGTTTGGGGGTGATAGGCAGTATTCTGATGAACCTTAGTTCCTAATGCTTTCTGAAAAGCCTGCCAGAACATCTATGTGAACTTCGGATCACGATCTGACACTATACTGACTGGCACTTCATGCAGTCTCACTATCGAATCCAGATACTTCTGAGCTAACCGATTGACTCCATCTGTCTTTTTAATAGCTAAGAAGTGCGCATACTTGGTAAGGCGGTCTACGATTACCCAAATCGCATCCTTATACCCAGTAGTCCGCGGCAGTCCGGTGACAAAATCCATAGTTACCATGTCCCATTTCCATTCTGGTAGTGGTAAGTTCTGGAGTAGTCCGCTTGGAACCCGATGTTCTGCTTTCACTTGCCGACATGTCTGACACTGTGATACCCAGGTGGCGACGTCCTTCTTCATACCGTCCCAATGGTAGTACCTCTTCAAGTCCCAATACATCTTTGTGCTTCCCGGATGGATAGCAAACCGTGACTGATGAGCTTGGCGCAGGATCTCGTCCTTCAGATCCTTTACCCTCGAAACACAAACCCTATCCCAGAATAGGTAAGTTCCATTGAACGCAACGCGGTACCCTTCCACCTTGCGTTCAATCAACCTTATGAGTGCATGGTCGTCCTGCTGAGCCTCGCAGATCCGTTCCAATAGGTCCGCTTGACCCAGGATTTCCAAACCGTTGGCCGGCTCATCGATGGTAGTGGGGCATAGGCGCAGGCTGGCTACCATCGAGACTAGCTCCTCAGCTTCCTTAGCAACTGATACATCTGCCTTCGTCTACTCAGGGCGTAATTGACCTCATGCTTCCGCAACTGACGTGAGGCGTATGCGACCACCTTCTCCTCTTGCATGAGCACGCAACCGAGTCCAGTCCCCGATGCGTCTGTATACACCATGTATGGTACACCTGTCCTTGGTAATACCAAAACGGGGGTATCAGTCAAACATCCCTTCAGATCTGCAAAACTCTTGGCATAAGCTTCCGTCCATTGGAACTTGACGTCCTTGCCTGTTAAGGCTGTCAATGGCTTGGCCATGCTTGCAAATCCTTTCACATACTTCCTGTAGTACCCAGCCAAACCCAAGAAACTACGGACCTCAGTAGCACTTGTCGGCGCAGGCACAATTGGTAATAGAAGTGATCTTTTCCGGATCCACCGCTACACCGGCTTCAGATACTACATGGCCTAGGAATCCGATCTTCCTCTGCCAGAAGCTGCACTTACTGAACTTTTCAAACAACTGATGCTCCTTCAACTTCTGCAAAATGATCCGCAGATGCCTGCCATGCTCCTCTTTACTCCCGGAGTAGACTAGTATGTCATCAATGAAGACAATCACGCACTTATCCACGTGTTCACAAAAAACGTCATTCATCAACTTCATAAAGGCGGCAAGCGCGTTAGTCAGTCCAAATGGCATAACCACGAACTCGTAATGACCATAACGCGTCCGAAATGCGGTATTCCTCACATCCTCCTCTGCTATGGGTATCTGGTGATATCCCGATGCAAGATCGATCTTCGATAACCAAGAGGCTCCCTGCAGCTGGTCCAACAGCTCATCGATCCGTGGCAAAGGGTACTTATTCTTAATAGTCACCTTATTCAAACCTTTATAATTAATATAGAGTCTGAAGCTACCGTCTTTTTTCTTCACGAATAGCACATATACTCCCCATGGCGAGCTACTTGACTGGATAAACCCCTTATCCAATAAGTCCTGAAGCTGCTTCTTCAGCTCAACCATTTCCGCAGATGCTAAACGATAAGGAGCCTTTGATACGGGCGCTGTCCCGGGGTCAACTTCAATCGTAAAGGCATCACCTAGCGTGGGAGGCGGTCCTTGTAGTGGCTTGAATACGTTCGCATATTCAGCTGCTACAGGAATCGCACTAAGATCTGCCACTACTTCCTCTTCTACCATCGAAATGGTGGCCAGATACGCTTCATGCCCCTTCCCCAGAAGCTCTTCTGCTTGCAACATCGAGATGATTCTGAACCCTGACTTCAACTGAACGCCTTGGAACGTTATCTAACGATTGTCTTTGGGAATCTGATATTACTATATATTTTGCATATTTTGCATGCATTTAGGATAGTTCCTCATCCATTCATCTTGCATATTAGGCTAGTTTGCACCATTTTAGGTCCTAGAGCACTTTTGCATTAGCATTCGCATGTTTCTTGCATTATGCATCATATTCAGGTTGTTTTTGGATACTTTGGAGCTGTGGAGGATTCATGGACATGCTGAGGCTCATGAGGAAGCTCATGGACACTTGGAGAACTCAGGAGTGCATGCTAAGGACCCAAGATCCAGTAGCGGATCAAGCAAGGCAGGTCGATCTTGATGAGATCAACTAGAAGATCGGGTGCACCTAGTCGATTCAAGAGGAAG